ACAGTAGACGACTTCATCTCTTTAATGGGTTTCGGAGGAACGTCACGTCGGAGAACGGAGAACGTCTCGACGTCTTACAGTATGTCTCTCTTTAACGTCTGTGAGCGCCCAGGACGTCTCCTCACTTCATCTCCAGGTGTTTATCCTCAGATGATGGCCTGACAACGAAAGCAGTGCTGTTTATGAATTCACATCCGCTATATTTGCTCATATTTGAGCATTTGAAAGAGACCGTGAACCATGGACCGTGAGGCGTTTTCCTGAATAACTTTGTATTGCAAATATTTAAGGTACCTTCCTCCAGTGAAAAAGTGCATCTGCTGTTGTCTCTCACGTCAAAATCCAGCCACATATTAGTTTAGAGCTGTTTAAACGCTGCTTGATCTGTGCAGATTTCTCTCCTGATTCACACCAGAACACTTTTTCACTGGAGGAAGCGTTATTATGGATTATAGACTCGTATCTATCTATCTATCTGTCATCTGACTCTATCTATCTGTCTATCTATCTGTCTTAATGCTGGATTTGTCTCAGCTTTTGTCTTCTCCAGATGTTAACTGATGGACTGGAGTGCTGTGGATTACTTGTGGATTATTGTGATGTTTTTATCAGCTGTTTGTACTCTTATTCTGACGGCACCCATTCACTGCAGAGCATCCATTGCTGAGACACTGATGCAATGCTACACTTCTACAAACCTGATGAAGAAACACACTCATCTACATCTGAGATGATCTGAATATTAATTTCACAGAAAGTCCACCGGATAGCTGTTTGCTGACACAGAAAGCTGATATCAGAGCAGCTGGTGGCGGGTTGGGCCTGTGGTTCGGCTCGAGGGCATTCATTCGTAGCGTCAGACGCACCCGTGTTTGTTCCGCGCTTTGTACCAGTTCATGTCACACTTCTCCAGGATCACGTACTCCTCGCCCTTCATCAGCGTCAAATCATGCGGCTCCAGCCCCTCAAAGTCATACAGCGCGATGACCACTTCCTCTCGAGGGTCCGCCTCTTCCTGTGCCGTCTCGCCTGCGGGTGGGGGGGGCGGCGGGGGCCGGCGTGTCTTGGGTGAAGAAAGACTGATTAATCATGTTCATATGGTTTGAGGTGTGAATGCAGTGATGCACAGACAGAAGCTCACCGTGCTGCTCTCGTCTCCAGGAACAGGAGGAAGAGGTTTGCGTGAAACTGTGAGGATGAGAAATAATCATTTCTGTGATTGACTGAGGGCTGTTTAACCTCTTAAAACATCAACTTCCTGAAGCAACACTAAGGTTTTTTAGCTACTTCCTGTGGGTAGCACTAAACCTTCTCACTAGTCACATGACCTCGTCCCGCATCATCAATATGAAAGCGCATATGCAAATTTAGAGAATATTTAATGTGAAGCTGAACGAATGTAATATAGTGTAAAGAATCGGCGTAATAACCAGCAGCAGATTGATTTTCACTACTGTAACGTGTCTAGCAAAATTATTTGAATTTGAGTTTGAATATGCTTCTACATGCAGACCCAAATACATAAAACGTTCAAAAGATTAAAGATGAAATAAAATGGAAGTTGTGACTCATTTTTTCATGACTTTACCAAAGAATGAGGGCGGGACTTGTTTCTGTGCACCGGCTGCTGATTGGATGTTGAGATGTGGGCCAGTGTTATTTTAGTATCGTTGAGATATTATTATGTTTTTTTACTAGTATTTTGAATTAGTTTTTATTTTTATATTTTCCATTTTAATTTTAGTTATAATTTTGTTGGGTTTTTGTCATTTTAGGTTTGTTTTTGTTATATTTTTATATGTAAATATTTGTAGTTTTATATTTATATAGTATTTCATTTCAGTTTTAATGTTTAGTCATTTTTGCACATCAGGTTAAACTAAATTAAAACGAGTAATGTTGCCTTGGCAACTGGCTGAATTATATTTATATATATATATATATATATATATATATATATATTATTATTATATTTATTTCAGTTAACATTTTAATTCAAGAATCGAAAAGTTCTCTGTTTTTATTTTTAGTTTCAGTTTTAGTTTTCTATAATAATGCTGATGTGGGTGTGGCTCTCAGAAATGGAGGCGGGTCTTAATGTGAGCTTGCTGTGGATTATAATAAAGGGACGGAGTTTGAGACTGTTAAATGATTGGAGAAATCCTGCATATGACACTAGAGAGAAGATCCACTTATGACATTCTGATTAAAAAAAAAAAGTAAAAATGAAACACATACATGGATGAATCGTTCACATTAAGATCATTAACATGCATTTAGAAATGAGCTAAACATGTATAATTTTCAAGATATTATTTGTTATTAAAATATGAAGTATTTATGTTGATTCTGCATTCATTTAGCGATCCAGTGTGAACTGTGCTGAATTGGTTCATATTGCAGGACTCTTACTGTCTCCAAACAGGTTGTATCCCTCGCAGCCCGGAGCGAGTTTATCCACCTGCCCGCAGCACAGCCATTCGCCCTCCTGCCAGAACTGAGGGTGGAACTTAGCTGCGATCTGAACGTTATTCTTGATCCCTGCAGGACAAAACACACCAGGAACACATCAGACCCGACCCCAACCCACACACACACCGGAGGACCAGCCATTCAGAGATAAACTGATTAAACTCGCTTCAAAACCCAGTGAGGCATCTTGCAGAAAACACTCAAGTCAAAAAAAATACTCAGCATCACCAAATTAGGTAATATTAGGCCCTTTTAGCAAATCAGCTGAATTGTGTTTTATGTCAGGTGTAGATGTGGGCCATTATGAGCATGTATGTAATGTATGTCAGTAAGCTTTCACATTTACATGACACAGTTTATACACTCCAAACCACTGAAACTACTGAAGAAATAGTCTCACTTCCACAGAGAACTCCTGACACACTGTTGAAGAGTCATAATATACCGTATATGCATCCAAACGACTATCAATAAAAACTATACAGATTTTTTTTAACTAAATAAGAATGAAGATTTTTCAGATGATGTATATATTTATCAGCTTTAATGCACTTATTAAAACAACTAAAGCAGTCAAATGTCAAACGTTTTGAGAATGTATTTTACAATATGCAAAAGAGTGGAGAAAGCAGAAATCAGTGCTAGTCGTTGTGTGAAACGGTCAATGCATGTGAGCTGAGAACTGAACAAAGGGTTGTAATCTTGATCAGATTCAGACAGGAATCATGTGTTTGTGGTGTTTTTCTGCTGATTAAGTGAAATCACAAGAGTTCTTCGCCACACAAATGCTTGTCGAAAGCAAAAGTGCTACAAAATGCATCGTATTTAGTGAGAAAGTGTGACTTCAAAGAGCAAAACATGCATTTTTTTTTTTTGAATCAGCACCCCAAATTAGTAAGAAACAAGTATTGGTTGCAGGGTCATGTGATCAGCCAGAAAACAGAAGTTAAATGAAATCTGTCCCTGCAGCACAAAAGCAGTGTTAAGTCGCTGGGGTATATTTGTAGCAATAGCCAACAATACATTGTATGGGTCAAAATTATAGATTTTTCTGTTATGCCAAAAATCATTAGGATATGAAGTAAAGATCATGTTCCATGAAGATATTTAGTAAATTTCCTACCGTAAATATATCAAAACTTAATTTTTGATTAGTAATATGCATTGCTAAGAACTTCATTTGGACAACTTTAAAGATGATTTTCTCAATATTTAGATTTTTTTGCACCCTCAGATTCCAGATTTTCAAATAGTTGTATCTCAGCCAAATATTGTCCTATCCTAACAAACCATACATCAATGGAAAGCTCATTTATTCAGCTTTCAGCTGATGCATACATCTCAATTTCACAAAATTGACCCTTATGACTGGATTTGTGCTCCAGCGTCACATATGTGTATCATGAGAATCTCACTGACCTTCCTTGAGGTTCTGGACCCAAATGCTTCGACTCTCATTACTGGGAGCAAAAATATACAGCATGATGGAATCATGAACAACCTGGAGATGGAGAGATAGACAACGAGATTCGGTTCAGTCCCGCACGATTCCTGATGGGGTTTTCATTGTAAATGAGCAAGTACATACTACGTCTGACCTGGAAGGGATATTTGTTCTGGCAGGGGATGATGGTGGTGCTGCTCTTCACGATCTCCACACACCTGATCCTCTGCAGATCCACCGAACCCTTCTTGAACCTCTTCTGTAAAACACGCAGGAACACGTGAACACGCTGCTGAGCGCTGCTGATGCGTGTGGTCTCCAGCTGCGTTCGCTCACCTCGGCTCGGAGCTCATAGTAAGTCAGCTTGCTCTTGGTCAGCACAAACACTCTCTCCTTATAGTTGAGCGGAGACGTCCGTTTCTTCTGCTGAGAACGTTTGATCAGCGTTTCTTCAAGAATGGGTGTCAGACTCATCTCTGAACGCCCAGAACTGCCATGGGCCTTAGAAAGAGACGCACAGAATCACGGCTGAGATCTTCTGCTGACGCTCGTCCGTCTCGTACCGCCTGATAATGAATTATTACCTCACTGATTTGAGTCCAGATCCTTCTTTAACAACCCAAAGCCTAAAAGTGTCAGCTGGACAGCTTAAACTAGCAACAATGAGATCTTACTCACCCTCGAGCCATCCGAGGCGTGTATGGCTTTCTTCTTTCAGACGAATCCAATCGGAGTTATGTTAGAAAACGTCCTGGCTCTTCCGAGCTTTATAATGGCAGTGAATGGGTGTTGAGATTCAATAGTCAAATAAACTGCACAAATCCATCATAAAAAGTGTCCCATGGCTTGAGGGTGAGTAAATCATGAGCTAACTTTCATTTTTGGGTGAACTATCCTTTTTTACTTATTGTGAAGAGCGGTTCAAACACAGCCAGATGCTGTTCACTCTGACTTCTAAAACACTTCTAATGAGGCTTTATATTTCAGGCTGGTTATCTCTGGTGTGTCCAGACAGACTTGGAAGTTTGTGAGGCCTCTAGTGGAGACTGTCACTGGTCATAAGACACTTGATTTTTATTATGTGTTATGCTTGTATTACATCCCAGATAGCACAGGTACGTCTGGTAAAGATCTCTTCATCTGGAAAGCATCTGCTGTGTACAAACATCTGATAGACGTCTTTCTCTTTTTAATTGTACAAACTTCCTTTGCGTGATTATCTCTGTGTATATTAGTATTGCAAAACCAACTTTTTATTTTTATTTTGCTTGGTTTAACCACATTGGCCATCTTTGAGTCACAACAAATGTTGGCTGTAAAGATGCAAACCTCAGGATGGTCTCTAGAGCACATGGACATATAGACACCTTTCACACATTACACTTTGAACTTCAGTCTAAATGTCAGGATCAAACACTCAAAAGTTAACTTTTAGGGTCATAATGGGCATTGTTCAGCTCTCAGTCCTAACCCTTCAAAACACCTGTGATGAGTTCACCTGTTATGACTAAATATAATGATTATATTCATATAAACAGATTTTATTACAGAGCACTGACTTCACTTCAATATAGCATTAAACAAATAAATCACACATTATGATATGATTTCGTCGACAGCAGTAACATGACAAACCTTCAGATTTAATATGAATAAACATAAATCACGAGCTTCGTTCAGCGGCCGCTGTCTGTTTGTTTTTGTCTGATTGTTGAACAGAAACTCAAATAACCGCAGATAAACTCAGTTCACACATATCTGAACTTTCACTTTTACATTCAAACTCCAGCAGAGATCGAGAAATAAATGTTTTATTTGACGCTCGAGATCTTTACGATCAGCAATAAACATTAAGATTTCTTACCTCCGCGTGCAGTTTTTCCGCGTCTAGACGTGTGTGTGTGTGTGTGTATGAGTGTGTGTGTGTGTGTATGAGTGAGTGAGTGCGTGTGTGTGAGAGTGATCATCAGGAAACATGAATCAAGGAAGTCAAGACTCGCGCGTGTCTGTTTTTATTCATCTTAGTGTTTATATGTGGCGCTCATGAAAACTGATTCTTCAACGTTTTGTTGTTTTTGAACACCTTAGTTTAATAGTTAATCTGACAGCTGATGTAGGGTTAATGTGACAGTTCCTGATAGACGGATCGTCGCTCGTGCCCGTGTGTGTGTGTGTGTGCTTCCCCTTTGTCGTTACATGTGGAGGTTGTGCAGGCGTTTGTACAGTAATCTCTTGCTGTAATCCCAATGTGCCTGTTTATATTACGCCCTTAAAGTACGTACTCATTTGGTGAAGAACAAGTACACACTTTTGAGTGTGTAGACAGACAGTTGAAGACAAGCTTTAAGATAAACTATCACGTCTTTAACGGAGCTCTCTGTTGCCCCGTCAATCATCTTGTCATGTCAAGCAAAGTCAAGTGAGGTGCACACACACACACACTTACACACACACACACACTCACACTCACACTCACACACACACACACACACACACACACACACA